GGGGTGATTAATAATACATAAGGAAACCAGGTTTTACATAATTCATCAATCTGACTTAAACTGGCACTCTCCGGTTCCACCAAGTGGAAACCCAACTACTCTGTGACACTTGAAAAACAGCTCTGAATTGATGCACTGCATCCTTCTGCAACTGGACTTAAAGTCATATGGATTCAGTTTGTCACATAATAATGAAGTTCCAGGGATGGAAAAGGAAAACAAAAGTATATATATATGCTGAGTTTAAGACTTTGTTGTTGTTGTTTTTCTGTTTTAAGTGCAGAGCCTACAAAATATGCTAGAAATTAAAGATGGAGAGATGGAGAAGGGCTTAGATAATTAAGCATATGATTGCATGGTTAAAGGATTATTTCCTAAAGAGCTTTAAATTTCTGCATATGTTGTTCACAGGGCTATCTAGAGCCAAGAATGTACAACACAAGGTTCAATTTGAAGAAGCAAACTGGAAAAACTGGGGATTGACTCAGAGTGGCAGCAGATCCTCTTCCCTCCCAGGAATGCATGGCAATAACAGGGAGCCTTTTTCAGTAAAAGACAGCTAGGAAAATGCTTTCTTAGCATTTCCTGCATTGTCATATTTTGTTGGAGAGTCCAAAAGGAAAAAAGAAAACTATACTAGGCTACCTTCAGTTCTTAGCCTTGATCAAGCTCCATTCTTTTACCGTCTTTGAACTTGCTTCATGATGCTCTTAACCCACTCTTGATTGTGTGTCACTTGTAAATCTTTTTCCCTGACATCTTTTGAAGTGCTATGATTCCTTCAGTTTCTTCTCTGTGAAGTGAATTTCCTTCTGGGTTTTCTTTCTTCACAGAATCACAGAATCGTCTAGGTTGGAAGAGACCTCCAAGATCACCAAGTCCAACCTTTGACCTAACACTAAGAAGTCCTCCACTAAACCATATCACTAAGCTGTACATCTAAATGTCGTTTGAAGACCTCCAGGGATGTTGACTCAACCACTTCCCTGGGCAGCCCATTCCAATGCCTAACAACCCTTTTGGTAAAGAAGTTCTTCAGAGGCCACACCTTTGTTCATGTTTTTCCTCCTTTTTCACATTGCAGCAGAGCACAAAGTAAAATCCATCTCCTTAACTTGATGTGTAATGGTAACTGTTCAATTGTGTTAGTGCACAGCAGTGCTCAGATCAGTCAAAGACACCCACACAAGGCAGATCACTAGTACCGGATGTTGCCCACGAGCTGTGTGCAGGGACAGCAGCTCCACCCGCCAGCAGTGTGCAGGGACAGCAGCTCCACCCGCCAGCATAAGCCTGCTCAGCTGCTGGTTCCCAGGAGCCTGGTTTTCCTCTGTCTAGTGGCTTTAGTTTTCTGTTTTCTGTTCAGATACAAAACATATCTTTTAGCATTCAATGAAACCTGAACTACACAAGCCAAAGCTAAAATTCTGGCAGGATTTAAACTAAGTAGTTTTATTTTTGAAAGAAATATTTTAAAATATGCATTAGCAAATGCTTTGATCATTATTCTTTTTTTACAGTGTATATGGAAAATACATTATATTGATCTAATTTAATTAGCTATCTTGTAACTCCCAAATATTTTCTATCAAGAATTGTTCTTTACAAAATATTGACTATGGAGTGTAATTCAGCTATTTTCTGTGTTGTGATTAATGCACTATTTGTACTGTTGCTCACCTAGGAAAATAAATACCTTGACTGACATTTTTGGAGTAAAGGACATAACATTTATTTTTCTTCCTATTTTCCAACTGCTCATGTTTTGAGCAAAGACATTCCATAGCGTAAAAGCTGGAAAGTAATTCTCCTAACATCTTGAATGTTTAGAATTCTTGTAATGGTCATTCTGACAAGGCAAAGATTTGTTTAACATTACTATTATTTATATTAAAGAATTATATCAAAAATCAACAGCATATTCTATCTGACTGTGGTCTAAATTCCCATCTTTTTAAAAGGAAGCTGCATGTATGAGCACCTCTTCTTCTCCCTTTATTTAATAGTAAGTTCTACACATTGCTTTAGCTGGATCATTTATTTATGCTCATATATATTCATTTTCTGAGTGGCCTTTCATATGTAATTACAGTTTGACCAGACATTTTTTTCTTGCAGAAGGAAAATGTTATATGAGAGTTCAGCACCTCAGCTAATTGAGTTATTAGTTTAAGCCTTCTGTTTCTTAATGGATTGTATCTTAATGGATTGTATCTGAAAATTTTCATTTGCAAAATTCTTCTTTCATGCACCCTCTCCTAGTCAATTGAATTTTCCTGGAATGACAGACATAACAAAAGTACTGTCTGGTTATAAAAGCCAGTAAAATTAGGATAACAGAAAATACTGCTGAAACACATTTTTTTGCTTCAAGTGCTGGCATGCACCAGTGGCCCATTCATTAATTCGTGATAACCCAAAATTTCAGACTTGTTACAAGAAAATAAAACATTACCACAAGACAAACAAGAGCTGTACTGTTACTATGATGATATGCAAATCATAGAGAAAGAACCTGGAGTTAGCAGTGATATACATGTACATACCTACTGATGAATACTCACTTTCCTTTCACACATTTGCTGAAAACCGAGATTTGAACTTCAAAGTCCTGTAGAAGCACCATATAATTCCCTTGTTTCCTCACACAGGAAAAGTAAAAAATGGTTCTCTAAACTCTGAACCACCTTGCATAAGTCCATTGTTTTCCAGAGCTCCATGGGTCTGTGGAATTATTCAAGACATCCAAGAATGGCCTCAAGTTGCTCCATGGAAGGTTTAGGGTGGACATTAGGAGAAATTTCTTTATTGAAAGTGTTGTGTGTCATTGGAATAAGCTGCCCGGGGAAGTGGTTGAGTCACCACCCCTGGAGGTCTTCAAGAAACATGTAGAAATAGAACTTAGTAGCACGGTTTCATGGTGGACATTAGTACTATGTTAAAGGTTGCTGAAGATAATCTTAGAGATCTTTTCCATCCTGAATGATTCTATGAAAGCACATGGACCACAGCTGTAAGTTTAAAAATAGGTTGATTTTTCAATACATATCATTATCTTTGATTCTCAAGTCTAACACAGCCTCATGCATCCACCTGAAATTGCGCTGAAAATAGAAAATATTTTTAAGTAGATAAGAAAAGACAGTGTTTTTTTTTTAATTATTATTTTATTTTTAAAATAGCAGTGTTTGTTGTTAGATGCTTTTAATTCTAGTACTTCTGTTTTTCACACAGGGCCTCCAGCTTCACTATTAAATACTGACTTCTGAAGACATGTTGTCAGGCTTTATTTAAGACTTTTTGCAATGAGTAATCATTATTTGCCTTAAGGCAAATCCTAGGGAAGTTATGGGAAAACAACCCTCCTGTCTCAAACAGCCGGAGGAGAAAATATCCCGTGCTCCTTAAATAGGTAAGTATTTCTAGCTTTCCTAGTGAAAAAAGGAAAATGCTTTATTGACCTCTGCTTATAGTAAAGGGTGGGTTCATGCACAGGCATTTATTTTTTGTTTCTAAAACAGTTGCAAGAATGTCTCCACTTTATTGATCCTATCACCTCTCTTCCTGAAAATATGCAAGTCATGCAACATATGTGTTAGCCTAAAAGGCCTGTGTGCAATAAGAGACTTATAAGAAAAAAGGAAAAAAACAAAAAACAACTAAAAAAAAAAGAAAAAAGAAAAAAAAAAAAGTTGGAAAACAGGTTAACTTAGCTCTTTAATTTTGGTTGATTTATTCCAAAACTGATGGCAATTTTTTCCTGTAAATCCAGGATGGTAAAGTAGAAAGGCCTCTCAAGGGTAACGGCATAACCTGATATACAAAAAAGCTTTAGAAACATCAGCTGACACTTACCAAAACTGAGCACTTTTCACCCTTTTCTTTGATTTTAGTTCCAATGAACTGTCTCAGAATACATAATATTGTATTATTAGAGTGGCAGAAACTCCTTCTAATCCTCCATCGTTCTCAAATTGACTAGAGTATGACATTGTCAGTGTTGAGCACTGCACATAGCTGTGAACTCTGGAGACTGACAAACAATTTCGTTCTAATCCCCCGAAAATATAACTGGACTAGCACAGAATCACAGAATTGTCTAGGTTGGAAGAGACCTCAAGGTCATCGAGTCCAACCTCTGACCTAACACTAACAGTCCTCCACTAAACCACATCACTAAGTTCAACATCTAAAGGTCTTTTAAAGACCTCCAGGGATGGTGACTCCACCACTTCCCTGGGCAGCCCATTCCAATGCCTCACAACCCTCTCAGTAAAGTTCTTCCTAATATCCAACCTAAAACACACCTGGTGCAACTTTAGCCCATTCCCCCTCATCCTGTAACCAGGCAGATGTGAGAATAGACCAACTCCCACCTCACTACAGCCTCCTTTAATGTGCTTATAGAGAGTGATAAGGTCACCCCTGAGCCTCCTTTTCTCCAGGCTGAACAACCTCAGCTCCCTCAGCCACTCCTCATAAGACTTGTTCTCCAGGCCCCTCACCAGCTTTGTTGCCCTTCTCTGGACTCGCTCAAGCACCTCCATGTCCTTCTTGTAGTGAAGAGCCCAAAACTGAACACAGTACTCGAGGTGCGGCCTCACCAGAGCCGAGTACAGGGGGACAATCACTTCCCTGGACCTGCTGGCCACACTGCTTCTTACACAAGCCAGGATGCTGTTGGCCTTCTTGGCCACCTGAGCACACTGCTGGCTCATATTCAGCCACCTATCAACCAATACTGTCTTCTCAGAGAAGGTGAGATTATCTAAAGACCCAAACATGACTGAAAAAGGGGAGAACCTTGGTGAATATTTTGCTGTGCTATACATTCCTGAGCCAATATTTTATGTGACAAGAGTAGTATATATATTTTATATTACTGAGCAGCATCTTTGTTAAACAGGCAGCATCTGCATATTCAAAGTAATGATGAGTCTAAGCCAGGACTCTGGATCCAAACAGATGGCAGGTAACAAAGGCTAGTTGAGACAAGGGTGTTGATGGCAAAAAAACAAAGGCTTTACTGACAGGATGATACATAAAAAATTGTTCCAAGCTTATGCTGAGGTTGTTTTACAAACTAAGAGATTCTGCCTATCAGCCTCCACTTAAGCTGCCAAATCCTGCCCCAAGGAACTATCCATTGCAGTACATTATTTTCCCAACCCTGAGTGCTCATAATTTGCAAAAGAACAAAGCACCAAAACATCTCTGAATATACCACATATCTGGAAAGCCTTTTTAAGAACACATCCCCTGTCTGTTTCAGCAGACAATAACAACTTACATTCCCACTGTACAGTACATTCATCCTTTAACAACTTCCTAGAAAACCTATAGCAATGTTGATCCAGGACTTGGATTGAAACTATGCCCTTTCTGATTAACAAAGCTCAGTAAACAATTGGTGCTCCTCTTTTTTGAAAAGGTCAAAATATCCATCAGAAAAGGAACTTTCACATCCTTCTTTAAGCAGGTAATAATCCAGGAAACTGGAACACTGGTACTAGGAAATGGGACGTTGGCAATCTGAGTCATGATTACCTCTTTTTGATTTGGCTGTAAGAGCGTAACTTTACAAACATTCTATCAGTGTACTGTTAAAATATTTAATGACCAAGACAGGCAAGGTTTCTATAGCTTCATGACCCCAGGTCCAACCTGTAACAATGCTGAAAATACATTTCCAGGGAGTACATGCACACACAGCACAACCATATATGGCACATAAATATATATACACAGATACATGATAGACTACACAGATGATAGACACCGAGAGCACTCGCATCTATGCAGCACCAACAATCTCTTCCTGCTCTCCTCTCTCCTCTCTGGCTGGGCATGAGGGAGGTCCTCTCCTGGGAATTATAAATGGTTATGTACAAGATGGATCCCTCCAGCACATGGGTTCAGGCAGGCTGCCCAGCAGCTGACCCCAGATCCCAGTGTCTCCGGTTACTGGTGCCTGGACACAAAAAAAAACAAGACTACAGGAGTATTAGATTAGATTAGCGATGACAGGAGTATTCTGTTGTACAGTTCTTTGTGATCATACCTGTGCATCAGGTTAATTACTGACTAATAAAGAGCTTCCCTGGAAAGGACCAACATCAGAACAAACAACAAGATGCTCCAGAAAATATATAATTGATAAATAAACAGACCTCGTCACATCATTGGTCTCTCAGAAATACAAAATTAATTTTAGAAAGGAAGAAAGCAGAAATAAATTGCAGGCCATTTGCTTGTTCTGTAGAATTAGGGACATTTGAGTTCTAGAATTAGAAACTCTTAACCCCTGATGTTTATAGCGAGATTGCATTTTCAAGATTTTCTCTACAAATCAGATCTCTTGAAACTAATTTACCAAATTGAAAGATTTGATTTTTACTTAACAACAAGATGTGGAGTCACCATCCCTGGCGGTGTTTAAGGCAAGGTTAGACATGGTACTTAGGGACATGGTATAGTGGGTGACATTGGTGGTAGGGGGATGGTTGGACCAGATGACCTTGGAGGGCTTTTCAACCTTAATGATTCTATGATTCTGTGATTCTACATCCTGCTGTCGTGGGAGAATTTTAGAGTGAGTTAGTTGCAAGAACAGGATCACACCAACCTGAGATATGGTTTTAATTTACTAAATAATCCAAGCACTGTATCTTTCTATTAGGAATTACAAAGGGGTTAAACTAGCAGTTGTGTTGTGAAATTGCTCATGAAACAAAGAGAACACTGTCACTTATTTACACTTATTACACATGTTTTCTCCTGGTCTTCAAGGTATTACACATTTCAGACATGGCAACAAATTAGGCTGGGGACTGCACTAGTAGTGTTATAATTTGCATTGTTTAACAAGATGACTGCAAAGGGAGAAACAATAAGAATGTGTAGGGAAAAGATGATCTCATCAGTGCTCCTCTGAAAAAGTCATCATGGCAATAACATGCTGACTGTTGACACTAGACTTTTAACTCAACAGATAACCAGCCAATAAATATTCATTGCTGACTTTACACTTCATTTCTAAGAGAAAAGATTCTACAGCACTACAGAATAAGACTATTAATGGAATAACTTGCAGAGACCTTGCCTACATTTCAGTGTCTTAGGGACATAATTAGCACTAGAGCAAAGGCAAGTTTTGATCTGACTCTTAATCACTCTCCTAATCTATCACTGTTTGGCTGTCTTTCTGTAAGCTTTGGAAGAGGTAGCAAGGAGGATTCATGGTGGGTTCCAGGTCTCAGGAATAAAATACGGAATGGAATGTTCATGAGATTCTGTCATCTCTGAGTTTTGCTTTAGACTTACCATGTCTGATGATGATCCACAAAGTCATCTGATATGAGCTGATGGGCTGCTTCTCCAATAGTTACTTGCAGAAATCACATCACAAAGTGCATTCCAATCTCCACTCTCCAGCAATCTGAAATTTAAAAGAAAAAAGGGATTACACGAAGTCTGAGTGAGGAATCCAAATGCCTGTTGCCAATTTCATACTATCTTTGTAATTCCACAGTCTTTTCAAGGCAGGAAACAATGTTTTGTTGGTTTTTGTTTTTTGTTTTTTGTTTTTTTTTTTCTTAGTTTTGGGTTTAGGAGACAATATAAATCTCAGTGATTAAATGGTGTGATTAGAACCAAATACACTAGGACACAGAATTGTGTTCCACATAAGCTGACTGTACTTTTCAGAGGAAGGATTTTCAGAATATAGGAGACATTTCATGGAGATTGTAACTCACTGAAGTCACTAAGTGATTTTCACTAGGTAGTGAAACAACTGCTGAACAAACAACATGCATGCACAGACAGCACAATAAATCAATAAACAAAAAAAATCAGGACTTTTTTGGCTTCTATTAGATTTTGCGAAAATCAAGTGAATACTGTTCTCCAAAAGGAGTCAACCTCACTGGAAAAAAAAAAAAAGAAAAAAAAGAAAAAAAAAAAAAAAACATGTATTTTTGTTCAAATCTGGGTTTTAATCACAACACATAGTATTGATGCATTTTTCACTTGAAAAAGATTTGCCTAGGCAAAACCAGAAGGGCTGAAAGAAGAAAAGATTACAGATAAAGCAAAAAACAATTATGTGCTAAATCCATTCCTGGTGCCGCCTCAAAAAGGTAAATGTTAGGCTGATTCTTTTTACCACATCTGTTTTCTACAAGAAAGGAAAAGAAAAAAAAAATGTTTAGTTCTAGTAGCTTTCAAGGTATCTATGTAGTTTTCTTTGGTAATTGCTTCATTTATTTCTTGAGACATATGGCTATTTTCCATTAACAAAATTTGGAATACTAGAACACAAAAGTGGCATGTGGAACCAAAATTAATTATAATAAAATTTATATCATTTGTACTGAGTAAATCATACATGAATTCTCAGAATCACATTCCACAGGAGAGCAGAAAATCTGCAGACAGTGCATAAAAACATAACATTAAGCTGTCATATTAACCATGCCTGAGACTAAGCAGATATGAAATCTTAGCTACACATTTTTTACTCTATTAAAATGTCATTTAAAAGCTATGTGAAAAAGATCTTAGGAACGCTAAAACACAATCACATGTGCAAAAGCAATAGACATACAATAAACATAATGTCCTTTGCAATAACAGCTATGCTGCTAGCAAACAAGGTCATAGCTTTTTGCTGTGGCACAAAGGTATATATTGACAGATACAACAGGCAGGCAGAAAAATGAGTGATTACATGTCTAATCAGCATTAATAGACTCCAATAAGTGAGATTCCACTTCAGCTCCATTAAGTAAAAGGTAAAGACAAAACATCTTTCACTAGTAACATCAACAAGCTACTGCTGATGTCAGTGTAAAAAACAAGTTCAGGTATCAGTGATTTTGAAGCCTGGACCACCATGGCTGGACTTTCTGGGTTGCCAATGGGCTTCTCAAGCACAGGATGCATTTCAGCTATCCCATGTACTTTAACAGCAGAGCACTCTGGGGCAAAATAAGGGTGTTCTCTGGTGGGTATTGAGAAAGAAGTGAAAACAGTTTCCTTTTGAAATAAAAATCTGAAAGGAGTTTGCTGAGCTTTTCTACTTCCCTTTAAGTATTGTTCTTCTTGTTTTCCTCTGAAAAGAGACTGCATACACACAAAAGCACATCTGCACATACTGTGGCAAACAAGCTAAACTGACATAGTTATTCATATAAGCATACCAACGAATATTGCTGAGTAGAATTAGAGTATAATCTTTAATCACATGGGAGGAGTACTGTGTCCCCTAAGAAAAGAGAAATTCAGACATCAAAGAATTATGAACATCCGACCTCCCACGTAGAAGCAAACATAAATGTCATCCACCGATTTCTGCATCAACCTCATAATTTCTGCTTCAGTTGCAACATTTGTTTTATAAAGACATCCAAGTCTTGTTTTAGAGATCTCTTGAGCAAGTTCAGAATGCTTAATAATAGAGATTTAATCAGAACTGAATAATGAGTGAACACTCACCACTGGGTCAGGAAGAGACAAAGTGTCCAAACTGGAGAGATAGGGATTTGATGGGTGGACCATACAGTGGATAAGGAATTGGCTTGAAGGTTTTACCCAGAGAGTGGTGGTCAAGGGCTCTATGTCCAAGTGGAGACAGGCAATGAGTGGTGTACCTCAGGGGTCTGTCCTGGGACTGGTACTGTTTAATATCTTTATCAAAAACAGTGTACAGTGGGATCGAGTGAATCCTCAGCAGATTTGCAGATGACAACAAGATGAGTGGTGCAATTGATATGGTAGAAGGAAGGGATGCCATCCAAAGCGACCTGGGCAGGATGGAGAAGTATGCCCATGTGAACCACATAAGGTTCAACAAGTCCAAGTGCAAGGTGCTGCTCCTGGACCAGGGCAATCCCAGACATGAGTACAAACCGGGAGAAGAACTCACTGAGAACAGCCCTGCAGAGAAGAACTAGGGGGTTCTGGTGGATGAAAAGCTCAACATGAGCCAGCAGCGTGCACTTGCAACCCAGAAGGCCAGCTGCACCCTGGGCTGCATCAACAGAGCAGTGGCCAGCAGGATGAGGGAGGGGATTGTGCCCCTCTGCTCTGCCCTTGTGAGGCCCCACTTGGAGTGCTACATCCAGGTCTGGAGCTCCCAGCACAAGAATGATGTGGACCTGTTAGAGCGGGTTCAGAGGAGGGCCACAAAGATGATCAGAATGCTGGAACTCCTCTTCTGTGAAGACAGGCTGAGAGAGCTGGGTCTGTTCAGCCTACAGAAGAGAAGTCTCTGGGGTGACCTCATTGCAACCTTTCAGTACTTGATGGGGTCTTATAAAACAGATGGAGAGTGACTCTTTGCTCAATTGGATAACGACAGAACAAGAAGGGGGAATGGTTTTAAACTAAAAGAGAGGAGATGTAGAAGTTAGGAGGAAGTTATTCACTCAGAGGGTGGTGAGGTACCAGAACCACTTGCCCAGAGTGGTTGTGGATTCCCCATCGCTGAAGGTGTTCAAGACCAGGTTAGATGAGGTCCTGAGCACCCTGATCTAGCAGGTGGCATCCCTGCTTATGGCAGGGGGGTTGAAACTAGTTGATCTTTGTTGTCCCTTTCAACCCAAGACATTCTATGAGTCTATGGTATAATTCTATGATTTCAAGCAATACATCTCGCCATGATCAAAGTAGGAGACTGGCCCAGTAGTGGCATCCATTCTCCAATTGTTTTTAAAGAATAGTATAGACAGAAAAGTCACAGAATCACAGAATCATCTAGGTTGGAAGAGACCTCAAGATCATCGAGTCCAACCTCTGACCTAACGCTAACAGTCCCCACTAAACCATATCCCTAAGCTCTACATCTAAACGTCTTTCAAAGACTTCCAGGGATGTTGACTCCACCACTTCCCTGGGCAGCCTGTTCCAGTGTCTAACAACCCTTTCAGTAAAGAAGTTCTTCCTAACATCTAACCTAAAACTCCCCTGGTGCAACTTAAGCCCACTCCCCCTCGTTCTGTCACCAGTCACGTGGGAGAACAGGCCAACCCCCACCTCGCTACAGCCTCCTTTAAGGTACCTGTAGAGAGCAATAAGGTCGCCCCTGAGCCTCCTCTTCTCCAGGCTGAACAAGCCCAGCTCCTTCAGCCGCTCCTCGTAGGACTTGTTCTCCAGGCCCCTCACCGGCTTCGTCGCCCTTCTCTGGACCCGCTCAAGCGCCTCGATGTCCTTCTTGTAGCGAGGGGCCCAAAACTGAATACAGTACGCGAGGTGCGGCCTCACCAGAGCCGAGTACAGGGGGACGATCACCTCCCTAGCCCTGCTGGTCACACTGTTTCTGATACAAGCCAGGATGCCGTTGGCCTTCTTGGCCACCTGAGCACACTGCTGGCTCATATTCAGCCGACTGTCCACCACCACTCCCAGGTCCTTCTCTGCCTGGCAGCTCTCCAACCACTCATCTCCCAGCCTGTAGCTCTGCTTGGGGTTATTGCGCCCCAGGTGCAGGACCCGGCACTTGGCCTTGTTGAACTTCATGTAGTTGACCTCAGCCCATCGGTGCAGCCTATCCAGATCCTCCTGCAGAGCCTTCCTACCCTCGAGCAGATCGACACACGTGCCTAACTTGATGTCATCTGCAAATTTACTGAGGGTGCACTCAATGCCCTCATCCAGATCATTGATGAAGATATTAAAGAGGACCGGCCCCAGCACCGAGCCCTGGGGGACGCCACTAGTGACTGGCCTCCAACTGGACTTGACTCCATTTACCACGACTCTTTGGGCCCGGCTATCCAGCCAGTTTCTAACCCAACGAAGCGTGCGCCAGTCCAAGTCAAGAGCAGCCAGTTTCTTGAGGAGAATGCTGTGGGAGATTATGTCAAATGCCTTGCTGAAGTCAAGACAGACCACATCCACAGCCTTTCCCTTGTCCACCCAGCGCGTCACTTTGTCATAGAAGGAGATCAGGTTCATCAAGCAGGATCTGCCTTCCATAAACCCGTGCTGACTGGGCCTGATCACCTGCTTGCCCTGCAAGTGCCGCATGATGACTCTCAAGAGGATCTGCTCCATGAGCTTCCCTGGTACTGAGGTCAAACTGACAGGCCTGTAGTTCCCTGGGTCTGCCCTCCGGCCCTTCTTGTAGATGGGCGTCACGTTTGCTAGCCGCCAGTCAGCTGGGACCTCCCCCGATAGCCAGGACTGCTGATAAATGATGGATAGGGGCTTGGCCAGCTCCTCTGCCAGTTCTCTCAGTACCCTTGGGTGGATCCCATCTGGCCCCATTGATTTGTGCACATCCAAGTGCCGTAGCAGGTCACCAACCAGTTCTTTGTGGATAGTGAGGGCCACATCCTGCTCCCGATCCCCTTCCACCAGCTCAGGGTACTGGGTATCCAGAGAACAACCGGTATTACCGCTAAAGACTGAGGCAAAGAAGGCATTGAACACCTCCGCCTTTTCCTCATCTCTTGTAACTAAGTTTCCCCCAAGAAAACTTATTGTAATTTTTTTTTTTTTTTAAAAAGTCTTTGAAATCCAATATAGAAACCCTTTCTTCTTGACAGGGAATGAAGAGCATTGAAGTGATTTGAATCTCTGCCTATTTTTAAAATAAACACAATAAGTCTTGGTCTTCCATTGTACCTTGGATTTTATTAAACTATTTATTAAAAAATTAAGACCCATTCCCCCATATCCTCCATATTGTTTTAAATAGCTCACCTATCCTCCTTGCTAATACTTAACAATGGCAGAAATAACACAAAACGTTTAATATAGAGTCCCTACATCTTAAGCAGATGTAATGATACTTTCCATTGAAGGTCATTGAAAAAATAAATAAAATAAAAAATAAAAAAATAAAACAACTATACTAAGGCAGAGAAAATATCTGCATCTAGTATGCCTCCCTTTAACTTCTAAAGTTCCTTCAAAATATGATGTAGTTGCAGGTTTGTACCTGCAAGAAGTCAGAATCCTGATAGACCTACACATGTCATCTACACGTTGCTATGAAAATATGAAAAACTGTGTATGAAATTTTCTGCTCTGCTTTAGATCTGAGCTGGTGGAAAGAAAAATCATGGAGATGATAGTTAAACTTCTATAAGGCTGATTGAAAACAGAAAATATAAAACAAGTTTTAGGAAGAATTACCTTGTAAAATTCCATATTATTGCTGAAGTGCCATTTGAGTTACAGCACAATATAGCTGAAATGGTGCTACCATTTCATGACCCTGCTTTCAAATACTTGTAATTTTCATAGAGGGAGGCAGAATATACAGCTGAAGATTCCATATACTTTTTCAGTCCGTACATAACCTTTTAAGATTCCTCTGTATTTTTCTGGTACAAGATCATGTATTAGAAATTAATTTATAGTTTAAGATGTTGTCCAAAATGCTATAAACACACTAAGATGCTGTATTATGGGAATATCATTTTGATTATTCACAGGTGAAAATAATATCTACCTTCTTACATCCACTTAGAAGATATAATCCTGCCAAGCTTCCTTTCTGAGAAGATGGGAGAGGAATATTTGTTTCTGAAACCAAAGAAAATTCATGTTGTCACATGCTTTCTGAGTTTTCCTGAAACTACTTGCAAACTGTGACCATACGCAAAGCTTTTGTAAGAAAGTGAAGAAAACTTTGCATAGCTCTGGCTTTAATTTCGTGACTCCCTAGCAGTCTTAAAACCTACATGTTTTAGGAAGTGACTGTATGACATTGGGACAAGCAGAATTTTATCTTCACATCTTTAGAAAGGCACTTGGATAAGAAGTACAGTTTCCATTCAGCAGTCAAGTGCTACAGCTAGCAGATTCAAATCTATTAATTCAGTGTTGGACACCAGCCTCCCTATGTTAGACGTAGGCTAGTGCAGTAAGAAGGAAAACAGCTATAGCTTGTGTTGATTTCCTTGGCACTGCTGATGCCCCATACTCCCATGACTGGTAATGGCAATATTAATCTGAGTGCCTGGGTCTATCTGGATCAGGAGTATAACATGGAAGAGCCTGTATTGTGAAGTCACAGAGCTGCCCTTTGCATCCACTTTGAAAATTGAGTATTATCCTTATTCGTTGCATAAACTGAGACTGCACAAGAGTGAACTGGTTATGATTAATTATAATGTTATTAATCCCTGTCTTTCACCATTTACTCATATAAAGTTCTATAAGGAGATAAGAAAGTACCTACACAACCACTTTGGTCTTTTTTCCAAGCCAAACATCAACAAGCTTCAACATACCCTAAGCAACATACCACAACTAGCAATTCACCCAAGTGAATTATATGCATGTAGTAAAAGTGAATCTGATTCATTTAGGCTGTTTAAGAGGAGATAAGCTCAACTTCCCATGCTCTTTATTGTTCCAGCAGGGAATTTCACTTACTATCCTTTATAACTCATCCAGTCTATTTTAATTAATATTTTAAGTGACTTGAGCCCTGAAGTAAAGGATTCAAACACAAATTCACAGAGCAAAGTAGCATTTAAGAGACATGCTGTAGCACATTCACAAGTATCACCAAGTAGGTCATCCACCTTTCTGCATGGCAGTCTAAAAATACACATGCTCATAAACCTCAGCAAATAAAGACACTACTAATATTATTGCTTCTTTCTTTACCCAATCATTTGTAAGCATAGCAGTCCACAAACTCTGACCATGTCAAAGGCACTACAAAATTTTACTGATATCTCTCTCTAGCAATAAAACAAAGATTTATGTGTTAAAACCTACAAAAGAGAAAGAAATAAAATCATCCCAGATGACTAAATCACACTGTTTCTGGTGGGTAGCTTAGTAACTGAACTCTTTATCCCCTGAAGGACCACTCAAACCATTTGTTTTCATTTTCTTGACATCCTGTCAGTGTAACATAACTGGATGTGCTGTTCTGCTTGTTATTTTCTGGGATGAAAATGACTGGCTTTGCTGAGGAATCTTAAGAGGCAATGAATAATATGTTAGAGGAATAGACTCAGTCATGTGATCTCTTAGGAAAGAACATTTGCTCATAAGCCCATTAACAAACCACAGAAGTCAGTGAAGATCTCAGGAACTAGGTCATTCACTTGGGAGGAACTATGACATGTTCTCTTTATAATCCCTGAAAAGAGATTCACTTGATGAAATTTTAGTACTTTTTGAGGCCGGCCATTTCAGAAAGGATGCCTTTTTCCTACGCAGAATAGCTGCTCAACTGTTTAATGCTTTGTTACTTTTATGCTTTCATTCTCCCTGCATTGCCGAAGGAGGTGGCAGTCATTGTGACGGTATTACAGACATCAGGAGAAAGCAATAATATCTGGGATATTGGCAGTGCAGTGGGTTAAAACATTATGTCACCCAGACCTTTTGTTTCAGACACAGTGAGCTAGAATTTTTGGCTTAGGGAACAAAAGAACACAAGTTCAGTGATTTCACCCTAGCCTCTAGTGGACATTAATCCACATCACAAAAGCATCAGACAATTTGTCAGAGAAGTTATACACTCAGTTCAAAGCAGAACCTGAGACTAGTGAGTTCTGAGGGAGGTGCCGGGTAGGAATCAGTGTTTTTTTTCCCATAGGGTTTTCACTGTATTTGATGTCAATATCACTTGCTCCAGGCATTTACTAGATAATCATTTTCATTTGCATACCTACCTGTAGAAGTGATGGGAAAATTTTAAAGAACTGCTTGTAACAAAGGCAGAGATGCAGCCTGTAGCAGGGTAATACAAGAGCTACAGTCTCCCAGGAACATTACGCACCTGAGAATCCTGGTGGAAACAAATTTCTCCTCTGCCTCCTCCTTGCTCCCAGGAGATGACAAACTACTGGTAGCCTAAGAGTGTTAAATGTCTTCCTTGTACTTCCAACAGTAGTTCTACTACAAAGATCAACAGAAAGGCAGTGGTATAGAGAACATTGCCTACCCTCCCAACTCCCACCCCCCTTCTGGTAAGGGAATAACCGAGAAAAGATTCCAGCTTCCTCCTAAGTGAAAAGACCAAATAATTCCTCAAAAAGGAAAAGGAGGCTGTTACATCACATCATGTCCTTGGAAAGACTACACAGCCCAAACAAGACTCCAGGATTTCACCTTTTCCTTCTGTGAAGTTCTCATTCTTAAGAAAAGAAAACAACTGGAAAAAAAAAAATCATTCATTTTCTGTTCATTCTCTTTTAAGATCCCTAAATTTTAAGATCCCTAGTGTTAGAAAATGAAGCAAAATAAATAAAGAACACAGAAGTTTGGGGTATTTTATGCATTATTACTTTATAATCTCATGCCTGAATCAGAATTACCTCTATCTCTCAGGAATAACATGGGAAATCCCTAAAACAGAAATGAATGGAACAGAACAGAACAGAACAGAACAGAACAGAATAGTTCAATTGGAAGGGACATACAAAGATCATCTAGTCCAACTGCCTGGCCTCTTCAGAGCATAATAAGATGGTAAAAATGGTAAAGCATAATAAAAAGGGCATTATCCAAATGACTTTTGAACAGGCCAGTGACTGCCAGGCATGGAGCACCAACCACCACTCTAGGAAACCTGTTCCAGTGTTTTACCACCCTCATAGTACAGAAATGTTTCCTAATACAAGTCTGAGCCTCCCCTGGCACAGTTTCATGCCATTTCCACACATCATGTCATTGGTGATCAGAGAGAAGAGACCAGCATCTTCCTCTCATTTCCCCTGCTCTGGAAGTTGCAGAGAGCAATGTGGTCACCTTTCAGTCTCTTTTTCTTCAGAAAGTATCTTAACATCCTTTTTCTGTGGAGCCCAGAACTGCATACAATATTCAAGGTGAAGCCACATCAATGCTGGCACCAAGCACCCCCAGTCTGTACCTGTGTCTGGCATAACTCCATTCCTGTGCTGAACCTGGCATTTTCCTTTGTTGAACTTCATGCTATTGAGGATTGTCCAGCTCTCCAAGGTACCATAAGTAGATTCCTCTGCAAAGCCTCTTGTCCCTGCGGAGAGTCAACAACAGCTCACAGTTTAGGATTACCAGCAAACTTGCGAAGGAAGTGTTCAACTCTTGCATCCAGATCATTGATAACAGGACTGTCCTTGGAACTGAGCCCTGGGGAGACTGCTGGTGACAAGTCACCAGCAAGATGCAGCCCCATTCACAACAACTATTTTGGGTTCTACCATTCCACTAGTTTATCACCCAGTGTAACATAAACCCGTTCATCTCACAGTTGGGTGATTTGTCCAGAAGGATATTGTGAGGGATAGTATCAAAGGCCTTACTAAAATCCAGAAATGTTACACCCACTGCCTTCCTTTTACCACTAAGTGGTTGACCTAATTGAAGAGACCAAACTACTAAGGCAGGACTTCCCCTTCAGAAACCCTTGTTAACTATGCCTGATAATACTCTTTTCTTAGTAGGCCTTTCAATATCCCCCAGGACAACCCTCTCCATAACTTGTACAGGCACAGAGGTTAAACTAACATGTCTGCAGTCTTCGGGGTCTTCTCTCACACCTTTTTTTTTGTAAATGAGTATAACACTAGCTAGCTTCCAGTAAGCAGGGATCTCCCCAGACTCCCAAGACCTTTGGTAAATTGCTGAGAGGGGTCCAGCTATAATATCTGATAACTTCTTCAGCACTCTGGGGTGAATCCCATCAGATGCCATGGATTTATGAACATTCACCTTAGAATTCCCTTAGAACTTCAGGTGGCCACAAATGGAAAGTCACTGCTCCCCTAGTCATGGTCCTCTAATCCAGAGAATACCTGTATAATCCAATTTCAGATGGGAATTCTATTCATCTACTAGTTTGTAATCTCTTATTGTACCATATATTGTGCTTTAGTAAGGCATTTAACCAGAAGAATGTGTGTACTTGGAAACAGTTATATATAAAACGAAGAACGCAACTTCTCTAGGGTCTAAATCCCCATTTTGCATAGTCTTTTTTAAATATATTTAGTAGTTGTGCAAGTTTTAGCACCAAGAATCAAAATTCTGTATCATATCCTTGTATTTCTATATCATGCTACAGTATAATTCTGATGGCTGTGACCCTTGGTAATGCCTACCAGAAAAACCACAGGAAGCATAAAAGGAACACTGAGATAACAGTTATGTTAATGCATAATCAACCTGGACAGGCCCATCATCACATCACTTGTCCTGCAGCTTCTGCCTCACTTTAGATCTGACAGTTTCTTCCTGGTATACACATCTGTGTTGTACCATACCATGTTTTATGATACAGGACACTCAAGACACTACTTTTTCATCACAGCCAAATCTCTCCTGTATGTCCTCTGTATTTCACACTGCTTTTGTGAATCATCTTGAAAAATGCTGTATTGGTACTCTCATAGAAATTTAAACATCTTTTTCATGCATCATTGTAACTTTGCACATGCCCACTATCATCTTTTTTTTTTTTTTAGCATCTGTTAGCAAATCTTGACTTCACATACCATTAGCTGTCCTTACCCTACTTGGTTTTTAAGATACAGAAACTATTGGCTTCAGTTCCTGATTTCAGAATGTCATCAAACTGACAAACTATCTGTCAGATTTTCCAGTGCCTCCTCATAATTATTTTGCTTTCTCCACACAGGAAACATTACTATATATTTCCATCTTTAAAACCCACCACTTCCATTATATTTGTAATGTCTTCCACCACAATTAAACAAGAGCCTGCTTTAACAGATGTTTTTTACTTTATCTATGTGTGTTTCATTACAGTGTTCTATTTACCCCGTTTATTTCAATCACCTGTTGTCATTCACCCTACCTGAAGTATGATCTTCTGTTCACACACATTCTTCAAGTACTAACACTGATCCAGGAACTCCTCTTGACCCTCTTTGAACACAAATATGAAATAAGCCATATTCAGTCTGGGTTTACACTGAGAACTCATTTCACAATTGCTCAAAGAGTACTTAGACCTGCTTATCCTCAATTAAAATAAAAAATCCAGTTCAGAAAGTGCATATGCTGATATAACCTGGAAGGACAAAGCTCTAGCTCATTTTACCAACACAGTTGTGACTGGATTACTTTCAACATCAAGTTAAAAAAATATATGTATGCCTGTATAAATGAGTATATCCATAATACATCCTGATTGTGTCAAGTAAACTCCCAGTAGCATGAGAATAACATTGTCTGTAACAATGACCTTTCAGAGACACATCGAGAGCCCCTAAGAGCACCAGCTGGAAAGCTCAGAAAGACAGTACTGGGAGCTCCAGGGCCAGTCACACAAATGGCCAGTTGCTGAGATGCAGCTGTGTAACAGCCTAGTGAAGCTGCCTGTAATGATAGTGCAGATGGAGCTGTCTTAAAAGTGTACAGATTACAAGAAAACCAGTCAGTTGTGCTAGTGTCATCCCTCAGAAATAACTATGCAGAGCTAACCTCTGTGGCATGCCATACTGCATGGTCACTTCTGTAAGTATTGTCTTTTCATCATTCAGGGGAAAAATATACTTAGGTGTTTGGTTTAACGTTTTGCTGGTTCTGCTCAGCAGGTCTGGCTATCTGCCTTTTTGGACTAGCTTCTAAACGTAAACAAAGTAGGTTATGTTGATAGATCCTAAACCAAGGGAAGTATTGTAATTCCAGATGTGCTGCATATACAGCATGGCAAATACTTGCTACCACCAGTATTGAAGCTTAACTTATGTAAAATTTATTATCAATAAACCTTAACTCATTCACATAATCAATGTTATCTGAGGGGATGCTTGCAGTTTCTGTATTAGACACCACAAGGTCTGGAGGGAAAGCCCCTAACATCCCAGTTTTCCTGAAAAGACAGGGAGCATGAGGGCAGCTCTGAAAAAGGCTCTCAGATGTCAGGCTTGAAACCATGGAGACAAACCAAAATGCAGGAAATGCTGCCAAAGAGAGAAAACATCAGTACATAAACATCAGTGCAAAACAAATATGTAAATGAAAGGTAATATCACTGGGGTAGAATAGGGATAGGTGTAGGTGCTCATGTGACTAGTTACTAGGTAGGATCTTCTATTGTTTTGGTCTATAAAGCTCCTAGAAGCATAAATTTTAAAACTCATGAATTCACTAAAAAAGCTCCCATATCAATGGATCTGCAGGATGATGGTCAATTAAACAGTGAAAACAAAGGTAGTATCATTAACCACCTGAATAGTGAAAAGGCTGCCAACATCCTAAAAAGAATAAAAAGCAGCAAGCTGCCCCCTAAATTGAATTAAACTGCTTCTGGAATTTCTAATTAGTTTTGTTAAAAATAAGACTTAACATTGTGGAAAAGAGTGGAAGCTGAACGATACTGCCCATTAAACTTTAGTAAGAATCTCCCAGAAAATACAATCAGAGATTTCAGTTCAAAAGTAGTTTTATTTCCATTATGTAGCTGTGGCTACAGAGAAAAGAATCAACACAGACTAAAAAACAGCAAATCAGATTCTTTAAAGCTTTATAAAAAGGCAAGCCTTTTACTTTGCCCAGTGTTTGAGCAAAGCTGTTAAGTGTTAATGCATATAATCTATCTAGCCAGCTAACTAGTTTAATCCATCACACAGTGTGTGAAAACATAAAAGCAACCCAACTGTGACAAGTTAATAGTAGGGTTAGGCAGTAAAACAGTAACAAAAACACACTTTGATTAATGATCCTGAATTGTCCAGCTCTAGTATAGATGGCTTTTGTCTAGGTTTATTTACTGGCCAATCAATGCAAAATAGATCTTGTAATTTAAAGCATTACACCAGACCAGAAGCATTGCCCTATACTGATAAAAGATGGAGAATATACCACATTTTCATATGGAATAAAAGTAACAATTTATACAACTAGAGGTGCTTTAGAGGAAGAGAGAATTAAAATACACCTAACTCAGGGATCATTCCAGTAATAGTTGCAGTGGAAGAGATGTTATAATTTCAATAAAAACCATGCCAGACTATTATTCAAGGCATAAAGCAAAATCTTCTTTGACTGCTAAAAAGTGTGATATGTTTCCCTTTCCTCCTGTCTTAGTTTCTGTTTCTCTAACTCACAAGCAGCTTCCAAACAAGGTCAGGAAAACAACTTAATGAAATGTCAGAAAAAAATTTGCTTTCTTGGCGTCTCTCAAATCCATGTTGTTTTGTATCTAATGGGTAGGCACACTTTGGGATACATCAGTGCACTAAACATTCAGCGCTATCCCTTTAGTGCATACAGCCATTCCTGTTAAAAACACCACTGAAAGAATACACATTACACAATTCCTCTGAACTCAGGTTGTGGGAAGCCTGCGACAGAGCCTCCCAAACTGAGAAATGCAGGCATCTGTTACATCCCAAAGGAGTGCTGCAAATATCAAGCTGTAGAGCTTAATTACCTCCTCTTGACATTTTTCATCCAAAATAGGTATTCTACCACTCTGCAAAATAAATGTGATAGGGCATAGGATATTCCTAAACATGCCTTCAGTTGAAACTCTTTAGAGACTAAACTTCTAACAATGCAAAGGGCAATGAAATAAGATAGTAAACTAGTTGTAAGACCTTTTACATTCACTGTGAAATAAAGGCTAGAATGACCCAATGGAAAAACAAACAAACAAACAAGAAGTCTCCTTTGTACTGGATAAGTTGTGAAAAACACTAGTACAAGTGTGGAGCAAGTGAAAATAAATCTCTTTTGCTGCACAGCAAACAACTGCACAGATTCTACACCTGCATGAAAACATAGTGCATGATTTGAGTCCTAGACTGAAAGACTAGATTAACAATCAAGTCTGTCTCTCTTGCTTGTGGACAATACACAATATAGTGAGCTTTCAATGTGAGATGATTAATAATGCTAACCCTTCTGACCTGTATAGCTGGTCAATGTGGGATTCCATGAGCAGCTTGCAGTGGAAAGTGGAAATGATGAATGAGTCTTGTCACTGAACAGCAATCAGTTATCTTCAAAGAGTACAACACCCCATCTCCATCTATACAGAAAATAACCAGAAAACTGGAGATGGTTACTTCAACCACAGCTTTGAAGCATCCTGCCAGCCATCACACAGAACACCAGGCACACTGTTCATTCTAATGCTGTTTGTGGAGTCTCAGGTTCTTTAGGGCCTACTGCTCTTTCTCTCACCTGACATGCACTTCTCCATTCTGTCACAAAAGATCTCTATCCAAACATAATTAGATAAGTCATATTTAATTATCTACTGCTTAAGTTTTAAATTACATTCATTCTTATCTTTGGTGTAAGTTGTGGTGAAGTGCAGGACTTCATAGGACTTCATACTTTACAACCAATGTTATAAAGTATGTGCTAACACAATGAAATGGTTCAGACCAGGTCTGTAACAAAAGAAAATGTAGTAATGAACTCATCAGTGTTCACTTCTAATGTCATAGGGTCTAAATCAAATACATCCCATTGGTCCTACTTTGGCCTGTAATGGGAGCTGCAGTTATAAACCTGGAACCAGAATTCATTTCTTGCAGAGTTGAATGTTTTCAAGAAGGTTGTGTTAGAGAAGAATATAACCAATGCAGCACTGGATGTACAGAAAAGAATATGAATACTTCTTTGGCATGTATTTCTGAGACCTGGTAGTTCAAGACTTGATACCTGACTATGCATTCTGACCAGCCACATTCAAAGTTACATACAGAGACATGCATGTCCTGTGATGTTGTAAGTATAATACCAGTCTACAACTGTTGCTAATCCTTTGGGCATATTTTAGAGATAAAAAATTCAGCAGGTCAAGCTAACCTCACCAGCTGTCAAAAACAAAACAAACAAAAAAAAAACTTAGAAAGTCCTTTGAGACAAGTCAGATTTCAGATTACAAGCAGTGATTTAGAGCATCATCTGCACCAAGTAAACTCTAAGTGCTACTGGCAATGTCCAATTACATGTTGGCACAAACTCACGAAACACCACAACCTTGATGTGACAAACCAGCTTCTTGCAAGCCCATATTTTCCAGAAGAATATTGTTGAATATGCCTACAAATGAGAATGAGCTCAGACTTCACAACTGTGAAGATGTAACCTGAGTTGGATATTTCTTTTTCTCTTTTTTTAAAGGCTGGTTTTCTATTTCAGTTGCTATCTGGAGTGCCTAGTCGTCATGCAAAAGGCATGGTTTCGGTGACACTCCATGAAGAATTCAAAGTAACCACAAGGGCTGGAGATACAACACCCTAGAATTTCTCCAGTTTATTGGAAGTTTCCAGTTATTTCTCCAGTTCATTTGGTCTGGGCATGATAACCTTTGTAGCCATTCAGCAGGGAACAACACAATGATTACAATATTGGGAGCATTGTATTTGTCTTGCTTCCACAATTCTCCTCAAAGCTTTTCTTACTAAATAGGAGTGCCTACCTAATGAAAACTGCAAATTAAGGATGGGATCACCAATCAAGCTATAATTCAGTTTCCAAGGCAAAATTACTACACAGAGTGCCATAGAATGCAATTCTATTCACTAAAGAAATGAGTTCAAAGGGTCACACATCCAAAGAAATTTCAGTGATATTAAAAAACACCTAACAGATTTTGAAATAGATAGGTGTGTCTCTAGAAAGAGAGTGTATTTGAGAAAATATTTGCCCCTATTACTGACTTAATTATAAAATTACTGTAAAAACTGTAATTAAAAAGACAGGGAAGACTTCTTTCTTGACAAAGCACAAGAGATACTTTGTTTCTAATTTTCCTTTTACTGAGTGGGAATGCCAGGAACTATGCTAGGAAGTGTGCTGTTGCTGCAAGCATCAACTGTAAAACAGTGAGAAGCCTTTCCTGATAAAAAGAAATGCTAATTTCCTCAAAAGACAGGAAAAGCAAGTGAGAGTAAATTAAAAATAATAATAATAATAAAATAAATGTTTTTTGGTTTTTGGTTTTTAATTCAGTGTGTGAATTTCTGAGGAAACATTTTCCTGAACAGCTTTTGTCCTTTCCTTGCACTTAACAGAGGACTAACATAGTGATTCACCAGAATAATAGACTTTCTCTTTAGAGAAAGGGAGGTTTTCCTGCAGAATAAGGATGTAAGTGGTTAGAGGAAAAGAATTCATTTGTGATTTACTGTGATTTCATTTTCCTGTATTCATTTTCCTAGGATCTCATTTTCCTAGGATTTCATTTTCCTAAGATCTTGTAAAATCATAAATCACTGGAAACAGACATAGGCATGAGAAAGACAATCAGAGTACCTTTCTGTAAGTGTTCTCTTAAACAAAGAGAATGAGAATCTAATCACTGATGAGGGAAACCTGGCATTGAAAGTAGAGAAGCAAGCAAAAACAACGTCCTCATATTTGATCAAGCAAATCAAGCAATAGGGAAAAGAAAGGGAGGGGGAAAGGAGAAGGGGAAGGGAAAAATAAAAAAAAGAAAAAAAAAGTCTGAGATAAATGGTTGTCACTGTGTTGAGATGTATAATTTCACATACAGAACATGCTAAGAAACAAAGGGAAAAGAAAAAAATCCAGGTGCCATAAATTAAAAGCCTGCTATGGGATACTGGGAGGGGAGGAGCACACAACTACACAGGGGACCAGGGGATGGAGATTGGGACCAGCAGCACTAAGTTTGCTAAAATAGAATATTTGCATTATGCTGAGGGACTAAGTTTTCTATACTATTGCATCTTCCACTGGTCAGGATTGCCTGAAGCTTTCAATCAGTATATTTATTTGTCATGGATTGGTGGGCAAAGAACACCTACCAGCCATGGACAGGATTGTGAAGTACTGAGGGGGAGCACAGTCTTTCTTTGCTTTCCAGTTACAGAAACAGCTGATATCTTGCACGTGTCAGTGTACTCAGTAGTTGTACTGTTGTAACCTTTTACTCATACTGTCCTTAGTTATAGACCTTTGTCAGGGATACAGAAGTGAACTACATCAGAGATTCAAAACAAGCCTGAGATCAAAACGACGGTCTAACATGCTCTCATTCTTCTTACTGATGGCAAGATAGATTACGAGTCTAAAATGCAGTTTTTGTCCTCTTGCCAGAAAGGAAGGAGATATATTGTTTAGAGGGAAGTGAAGAGCAGGCTGATTCAGACTGGTGCCTTGTTTTGGCTCATCTAGCAACATAAGAAATGTATGCAGAGCTGAACAGTTCAGTATATATGATATTTTTTCTATGAATGTCTTAGAGAAAAAAAAAAAAAAAAAAAAAAAAAAAAAAGGAGAAATTTCTAAATTCAAGATCAACCAAGCTGTTTGATCTCAGGGCTGTTCAGCACCCCTAAGTTACTGTAGGCTGCTGTTATACACTATAATAGCTTGCTGAGCATTTGTTAACTCCAGCAGAGTATATGTGCAATTATTTCTAATGAACTCCCTAGCCCCTTAGGAAAAAATAATAGTCCTTTTGAATTGTTTCTACCTGTTGGCTGCATTAAATTTGGAAACAAAAGTCATACATTTTCAAATTTCCTGAAACAACAAGGCTCAGAGCAAGATTGGCATGTTTATTTTCAGAAAACCTCCCAAAGCATTTTAGGCATGGCCAAACTAATACATCTCTCCTTGACAGTTGCAGAACTTTTATTTCCTTAGCTAGAGTGTAACAGATTGCTTGCAGTTTAAGTCTCGATGTTTGGGTTGCACTGCAAAATCTGGCTGCCTGCTGGGGTTGTAAAGAGGTGCCATGCAGAGAGGGGAATTCTGGGAACATCTGCCCACATAGACATTATGCAACCAAGGAGTCAAGGGAAGGTACAGCAATTTGTGGGAAGGTGAGAGAAAATACTTCATTTTCCCTCACATATCAGCAGACTTTCTACCAATACGCTAGGCTTCCAAAAGTCTGTCTGTTCTTGAAATTCTAAATTATTCTGCTGGCAGAACAATTAAAATAGAAAAATATGAGCCCATCCTGATGAAGATGCTGCTTTACAGTTTCAGAACTTCATATATTCATGTATGTTTTCAGGTTTGTGTTTCTACCTTTCCTCTATATAACAGTGTAATTGGAAAAATATAGATTCACATGAGAGGATTTTCATTTTCATGGCAGATTTACATGAGATTGCCTTTATCTGGAAGATTCTTGATCACCAGTCAAAGTAACAGCTGGTGCACTCTGCTTCAGCTGTATTTGGACATTGGGGAATGTCATGTTATCAAAATGTTTTAAGTGCACCCATCAAAGCTGACATAAACTGGAACCTGCTACATCAACCACACAGACTGCAGGTTTATTGCATGGTTTCACATCACTCTGCAGAAAGCAAATTGTGCACAGGAAGTGAAACACAAATTATTCTAATGCCAAACTTATTTTACTTTCAAGTTTCCCCAACAATGTAACTCAGCTGAGTTCCCAGCATCACAGATTTCTCAAGCTATTTCTGGGGTTTTAAATGTTCACTGTTCAACTGCCTATGAATACCTTTCCAAGATCAGCTTTTAAAAAATTATGAGGGCCTAAAACACTTGTTTCACCTGTATATCTTTCACACTCATGAACTTAGGTAAACAAAACACATTTTAGGAGTGCAAGTGTTAAATGGCACATTTTACTGAATTTGTTGAAGAATACTTATGCCTGTGGATTGCATTGAAACCCACATAAAAACTTTTATGTAGTGCTAGATCAGGAAGCATTACTGACACAGAGCTGCAGTCAAATCGTAGCAGTGATCTTTGGTACTAAAACAAGGCTTTTCCTCATAAGCTCTTAATTACACACAGAGTATTCTAGATGGATGCAGTATATCAGCAGCTATAATAGCATTCAGTTGTTTTAGCTAATGTTGGGTGCAATTGTCTTTTCCATTAAATCCAGTTTGACACTACTATTTTCATGGCACATTATTATGTTCTAGAAGAATAAACAACACACATCACCTAATGGCCTACAGTGCATAGGATGCGCACACACTAAATATTCTTTTCACAGTGGATTTTCAAAATGCTTTACAACATCCCATTTTGGCACAAGATTAGGCCATAAAT